TTACTTTTTTTTTTTTTTTTGGTGTAACTAGTGGTTCTTTCGTTTTGTTTTAGATTGATGGAAACCGTTCTAAAGATGTAATTTTTGGAGAAATAAGCTCTTTGCTTTTGCAAGTTGAGAAAGAGAAAGAGACAGAAAAATCAGGCAAGTTTTAGAACGTTTTTGAAATGTGAATTTGTATCACATGGTTTTGTTTTCATTTGTTTTTTACTAAATCAGGAAATATAAGCAAACTTGATAGCCAGTTCAATAAGTCGCCTTCAACCAAGGTATGTGGTTATAAACTTATAATCGTTACACAGATTATGACACAGAAGAGAACATGTTGTACTGTGAAAAAGACATGAATGCCCTCCTAAATCTCATCATTGAAAATCTTATCCTTTTATAGGAAAACTGGAGAGGGATTCCTACAAACTTAAATAACATCCCTCATTCTAGAGAAATTAGGGATTACTTTTATAATGATGTGCTTCAAGCTACCCAAAGAGCTATCAAGGATGGAAAAACTCGAGTGAAGGTCAGTTTACTACTATTGAGATTTGAGACTCAATACATGTTGAAGCCTAATCATCTATGTAAAAAAAACCAGTAGTTTTAAAAAAATTTACAACTTCTTTTTGTAAGTTTAATGTAAGAATAAACTTGTATTTGGCAGGTGGAGATCAATATTCCAGAGCTTAACCCCAACACAGTGAGGAACACTTCATTTCTCAAATAATTGAATTGTTATAAAATATAAATATAAATTATATATTTATGTACAGGATGTATATCGGATAGGTACTTTGATGGAACTTGTTAGGGTTCTTGCTCTATCATTTTCAGATGATGGAAAGCGTGTTAAGGTATGCTTATCATGGTTCTAATGGAATTGGAGATTCCATTCCATGGCATGTTTGATTGGGTAATGGATGGAATTAAATCATATCAGAAACATTTCAAGAAACAATCTTCATGCAGGTTTCTGTTCAAGGATCCATGGGAGAAGGAGCACTTGCAGGAATGCCATTACAGCTGGCAGGAACAAGAAAGATTTTGGAGTACATGGATTGGGGTAACGATGGAGCCATGGGGACATTCATAAACATTGGTGCTATAGGTACTCTTTTGCAAAAATAAATAATGTTGGGTTTCAAATTATTGAGATAAAGTGTATTATAATGCTAAAGATCTATATATGTCTTTTTTTGGCATTGTACAGGTGGAAGAGATGTTGATGAAGCAGATGACATTTTCATTCTAGTGGCTCCTCAAAATGCTATGGGAAATTGCATTATCGATGTAAAAACCTCGGATCAAATATTTAATACTAACACATGACATGACATGACATGACAGAACAGAACAGGTTGTACTGCATCTGACAGAACATGTTGTACTGTGTTTGACATGCACTGGGCTAGGACTGAGACTGATGTCAACGGGACAAACCTTGCAAAATTTTGTCCTACCCAGAAGGTGGAACAAGGTGAAAGATGGACTCACTCTTGTTTTTCGTCTGTGCAAAAAGACGTGAATGCCCTCCTCATCCTCATAAGTGTAACAAACGCATACCAATTGTCGGGGGCATAAATGTCAATTGACAAGTCATGATGTTGGATAATGCAGGATCTTAGAGCAATGACCGATGCTGCTGGTAGTCGTCCGGTCATTCTTATCAACCCTAGACTCAAGGTTGGTCCCTTGAGTATTGAATGTATATATATATCTTTTTTTTTTTTGCTATATATATTTGGAATGAAAGTTATGTTAAGTTACGAAAATACCCTTTTATTGATCTATTGTAGTGTCTTTCTTGATAAAAATGGTACTAATACACACCATTAAAACTTTTTATTTGTAGGATTTACCAGCATCAAGTGGTATTATGCAAGTAAGTTCTTTAAGCTTATGAGCTTTTCATGGAACATTAATCCAATAATTCTGACAAATTTCTAAGTTAGTTTTTATTTTATTTTATTTTATTAATTAGACGATGGGTAGAGAAAAAAGACTGGAGTATGCTGCATCTTTTGAAATATGCTACCAGTTTCGGCTTCTCTATTATTCAGGAACACAATATCCAATTATGGGTGCTTTAAGGTAACTTAAACATTAAACCTGTTATATCTTGTATAAGATATGCAGAATTTTTATAATATATATATTTTTTAAATAGAAAATTGTAGTGATATGGATAAAAAAAAAAATTGCAGGATGGCTTATCCATATCGATATGAGCTGTTTAAAAGGATAAATGAAGCAAATGGAAAAGAGAAATATGTGATCTTGTCAACATTTCCTAGTAGGCCAACTGGAGATGAAGTTAATGATGCATTTGAAGGAAAAACAAGGTACATAATACACATACACATAATTACTATGTGAAAACTGAAAACCCTTTTATTATATTTTAATGACATTCTTGCCCTCTTGTTGCAGAGATCAAGTTAAGAAAGCTTCAGGATTCTGGTAAGTTTCTTTTTATTTTCATGATTAAATATTGACATTATTAACCATAGTAATATTTCTAGGGAACTGCACTGTTTTGTTTTTCAAAAGTAGATGTTTAGGTTTTGTTTCAATAAGGAGGGGCATTTATGTCTTTTACATAAAAAAAATCATCAACGAGGACAAAAAATTTCACTTTTTGTCTTATTGACATCAGTCTTAGTCCAATACACATAGTACAACCTGCCTTACACACAAAACTTGCCAAGTACAAACCATTTTTTTTTCTTTTTAAATTTACACTTTTACATGTTGTAAAAAAAGACTTTTTTTTAAGAAGTGTTGATTGATATGCATATAAATGTTGATTGATCTATGGTGATGTTGTCAGGGGTTTCTTGAATAGCATACTTTCAACATAGAAAGGTATTTTTTTTTTTTTTTTTGAAAGAAAACAGTCACTTGTGAGGTAAATCTCTGGTAAATTTTACATTTTGATTGCGTCTTGATCAATTTCCATGTTCATAAACATCCCTTCAATTACTGTAAAAATGTGTACTAAAATGGTATATACGAGCTTACAGTCTTTCTTTGTATATACATTATGCTCATCTCAAGATTGTATCTTTTGGTTAAATAGAGAATTGTTTTTTGCATAAAGACATTATGTTATTGAATTATTGCGACTCATGTGATGTTTAGATTTATGTCAAGTGTTGCTTAGTGTATCCAAAACGATTGACTCATTTTCTAGCTTTTTTTTATTTGTCGTATCTTTTCAATAACTTCATCAAGGAAAACATATTAACTTATCTTTTCAATCTTCCTTAATAAATGAAGGTTTTTTTTGCAAAATATAATCTCTTATGAGTTTTTACACTTATCATTTTGTGATATTTTTTAAATAAATATTATCCACTTGTCAATTTTTGGTTTTTTCAATTTTTAAAATTAAATTCATATATTTATATATGTAAAGTATTGAATATCATATATATGATATTAAATTGTAATAAATACATTTCTTCATTTCTTATTTTAAAGTTATACATTAAAAAATATTTTATGTTACACTTCAATGTTTAATCTTTTTTTAAATCAACCCGTATAATATACGGGTTTCACACCTAGTAAATTTATCAACGAAAACATATTAAATTAAATCATCTCTAATCATTGATGACTTTAAAAAGTGTTTTTGAAAATTAACCAATTTACCTTTATTTTTGTGAAATATTTAGTAAAACCCTTTCATCTAATTTGTTATTATTTATTTATTTATGCACATAATATTTACAAAAGGAAAAGGTATATTTTTTTTTTATAAAATAAATATCTACTATAATAAATGAAGGTTTTTTTGCCACATGTCATCTTCTCCTTCATTTAGACACTTGACATTTTCTAGACTTTTTAAATTTTCTATTTTCCACTTGTCATTTTATTGTATTTTTCATTTTATTAAATTAAAATTCCACATTTAATGTGTAAAGTAATATATATGTAAAGTATTTATTAGAAATGTTTTATATATGCAATGTATTCAATACATTAAAGTTTATTAATTTTAATAATTCAAAAATTTTCTCACTTTTCTTATAAATTCAAAATTTTCAAATTGTTAAATTTCATATTTTTTTTAATTAAACCCATGTAATATATGGGTCTCACACCTAGTATTATAATACATAAAATTAAAATTGGTAGGATTAAATCTCGAGTAAAAAAAATAGTAAGTATTGATTGCAAGATGTGTAAATTAACACTCGTCCATAGTTTTAGAGCATTTTAATAGTAGTTTTCTCTTAATGTTTTTTACTATCTAAAATATTTTCTAGATATGTATTATTTATCCAATATATATATATATATATATATATATATATATATATATATATATATATATATATATTAACTCTCTCTATTTTTGACTAAAAAACCCACGCACATAGAAACATAAACAAAAACACAGCAACAAACTCTTGCTTTTTGGAACACACACACAAGAACAAGATTAAAAACCAACAACAAAATCTTGATTTCTAGGATGGGGTTTGATAAAGAACACCAAAAATATAAAAATAGTTTTCATATAAGATCTGAGATGAACTAGGGATGTTCACATTTGAAGTGTATGTGTAGTGGCATATCCATGTTTTTAAAATAAGAGTGACTTAAAATGATCGTTGAGTTTTAGATATAATAAAGTTTAACTGATTGTAGACTTATAATCCTATTAAACGAAATGGATTAAGGGGGCTCAACACCCACCTCTCCCCCTATTACCTCCACCACTGTGTGTATGTTCATGTGGTCGGGAGCTTTTTAGGTTTGTTTACATGGATTTTCAGCAACATTTATGTGTTTTTGTGCTTGGGGTTTTGTTTCTGGATTTTATGGGTTTGTTCTCGAGCACACATGTATATTTTCAATCTCAATTTTATGGATTTGTTCTTGAATACATAAATCAGAAAAGTAAAAAAGTTACGAGAATCAAGAGTGAATAGTGAAATATGTTTTTTTTTTTTTTTTTTGGGCATAAAATAGTTCATATTCAAAAAACATAAATGACTAAAGTATACTAGGAGCAAATTTCATAACTTTTTTGGACAGGACCATATTAAAAGTTCATATTGATTTAGTGTTGAAAATAGATATATTGTTAAAGTTAGAGGGGGTCATATGCAGTTTTCTCTAATTCGAACACATAACCCTTAGCAACTCGTCGGTCCGCCATTCTCGTCAGTCCAAGCTTCAAAACCCTAGATAGATAATCTCCGTCAAAGCCCCAAAAACGTCGGCATCAGGTCCCTCACAATCAAAGGTATGCATTTTATTCTATCGCAGTTTCAGATTTCATTAGGCATTCTCAGTTAAAAGATTATCACACGTATATTAATCGACTACATGCGTTGTACAATTTTCCGAGCATCAACTAAATAGACGAGCATAGTCACATCCACTGACATAGATCTAAATCATTGCTTGTCTTCGGTTTTCATTTTCATAGTTTTAGCAAGTCTCTTCTTCCAAAAAAAGAGGTTCGTTTAGTATTATTTTAACAAATGTCGAGATTCATATGCGAAATTGATAAGGATTTTATTGAAAGTTCAACACCAGCATCTCCGATTTCAACTCAATTTACATTTGTTTCGACGGAGTGTGTGCCAAATTTGTTCCTTCGCCTCTAACTTTGTTGTTTTCATATCTATGTTCATATGAAGAGGTAATTTAGTAATTAGTATACGTTATACAGTTCATAATCTGGTTTCAGAAAGGGGAGAAGGTGAAAGATGCCACTATATGATTGTATGCTATTGCTGAAGCCAGCTGTTAAAAAGGAATCACTTATAGAATTGGTTTCTCGAGTTGGGAAACATGTATACAGAAGAAATGGCGTTATCACTGATCTAAAGTCACTTGGAACAGTTCAGTTGGGTTATGGTATCAAGAAGCTTGATGGCAGATACTATCAGGTAAATCACTTGCATTTACTTCAACATTTCCTATAAATCTTGCATGATCATTCCCACTATTTAACTCAGCACATATATGCTACTTGCTAATTTATGTTTTAGGCCTTGCTCAAGTTGTAAACTTGTATCTAACCAGTGGGAAACTGTTAATTAAACTTACTAAAGCCTCTTCATGATTCTTGCTAAGCTTGAAAATGTAGTCTAATTACAGGGTCATGTGTGTATAAACACACTATTCAACTGTTTGTGTGATTTTCACATGAGATTATGTTGACACAATGACACCTATCAAACTTGAAGTGCATGAATTGCTATTTTAAGTTGTTAAGGCAACACCTGAACACAAAACTGGTGAATTGACAGCATAATCTTTAGGATGAAATCTGAAATTGGTCCAAATTGCATATAAATTTAAGTTTCACTTTCACACCTCATTGAAGTGCCCATTAATTTATAATATGTTCAGTTTATAATAACTGTTGGACTAAACAGCAAAATTAGTCCCAATGTTTTGTGTGTTTTTTTGTTTGTAGTCCATAAAGCAATCTTTTTCTATGGATGGTCCTTATTGGAGAGTTTCATTTTGTTTTTGCTCCCTGACTTTAACACCCTGATTTTAAGTCTGCTAAACCCTTGTAAAATGACCATTTTGCCTCTCATTATAATTATATAGTATTCTTTTCCATGGGACCCACCATTTTGTATTTTGTCTTGTATTATTTTTCTTGTTATTCTGTGTGTGTAGTCATGAGATGGCCTCTTATTAATAATAATAATAACAGTAAATAATAATAAATAATTAAAATTATGAAAGTGAGGGGTATAATGGTCATTTTCAAAATTTTAGTAATAGGCTATCAAACTTGACAACCTAGAAAAGAATTTATTTTTGGACTCTAAACAAAAAAAAAAAAACACACATCACAGAGACCAATTTTAAAGTTTACTCTTATTATTGTCATATTAAGCATATTATAAATCCACAAATCAAACACTTACATAATTATCAATTGAAAAACATACAAAATACACATAAATCAACAAAAAAAAAAAATTGAAGTTACAAAAATTTACCCGAACTACATGTAAATTGAAACAATTATGATAAAAAAACAAAGGTGTACGATGTACCTTCCCCCCCAAGTGGTCCTTTTAGTCATTTCCAATATTTTACTCTATGTGTACTATGTACATATAATCATTGTCCTTATTGTTGATGGCGTAGGGCCAATTGATGCAAATGACAATGATGACCCCACCAAGCTTTAACAGTGAGCTTCATTATTTAAACAAAGAAGACCGTTTGTTACGTTGGCTGTTGGTCAAACATCGTGACATTAAATTTGGTGGTGAGTTTTTCAATGAAGATGATGGTAGAAGTGATTTGAAAATGATGAGAAGCAGTATTTATGATGTTGGTAGTGAAGAAGATGATGATGATGATGATGATGATGTGGAAGAATATGATGCAGCTTTCCAACAACAGAACAATGATGTTTGATTTTGATAAATTTTAGGAGTTGAGATTCTAACCATTTTGCATGACGTGTTTTAATTAAAGAATACGTGGTGGTTGTTTCTATCTTGTTTAGTATGTTTGTTTGTTGCGACTTGTGAGGCATCAATAAAACCATCTCTTGGATACCCGTTTTATGGTTTGATTTGAAGAATATTTTTGAAAAGAATGGAATTTGTTGATGTTTTTCATTTGGTTTGAAAATATATCAAGAGATTTGAAATATAATTTAGAGGAAATGCCATGATCTGTATACACATGGATTTCCTTGTGTAGTACTACAAAGTTAGAAAAAAATGACATCTTCACTATCTAAAGCTATAAACTCATTTTCCAAATTGACATGGGGGCATCATGAAATGGTGACATAAATGGGTATTTTCGTCGTACTTAAGCTCTTTCATCATAGGGAAAAAAAAAAAAAAAGTAAATTACATGAATCATCCCTATGATTTAGGATAATTTATGTGTTTGGTCTTTAACTTTGTTTTTTTTTTGACAAAACTTTAAAAATGGTTTTCTTGTTTTAATTTTTTTCCTAAAACAGTTTGCATTTTTATTTTACTTTTTTTTTAAAATTTTTTTGAATGAATGGTCCTTTTGGAGAAAACTTCGCATGCAAATAGTCCTTATGACTAACGTTCGTTAGAGAGAGACGTTAAGTTGTCATAAGGACCATTTGTGAAAATTTCTGAAACTTCACATAAGGACTATTTGTGAAATTTTAGAAAAATCTATTAATCTTTGTATTAATTATCATAAATAAAATAAAAAGGCAAAAAAAAATGTAATATTTATATAAATAAAAAATAAAACTTTTTCATTTTAATCAACATGCAAATATATTTTATTTAACATATAAATAATTTTTGTTATATAAACTCCATCTAATTTTAATCAAAATACATATCACAATACAATAAGCCTATACATATAACCATGCATGATATTGGATTAGAGGCCCTAGATGTTGTTGTGGTCAGGACCGTCCCAAGACGATTTGAGATCCGGGGCAAAAACAAAAAATAAGGTCTTTCAAAAATTAGTAATAACGATAATACAATGATGTTTATGGAGACGGGTAATGGAGGACTTGTTATTACACTATATATATATATATATATATATATATATATATATATATATATATATATATATATATATATATATATATATATATATATATATATAAACAGATTGTGTTTATAGAATACGAGTAAAAAAAAAACAAACAATCTAACAACCGAACCATTTTGAAAAACGGTGAGTTTGATGTTTGGAAACAAACAAAAAGGAGTATTTGAAAAAAAAATACAAAAGAAATTTCTTATGTTGATGAAAACTATAAAAAACATTGAAGAATAACCCATCTTACCGGTAGGTTATTTTATGATTTATGTTACCAAACCTACAAATAATAGTTATTATATATGAAAAGATGGTGCAAAATAAAATATTGCATATATAAAAGTTATGATTGATAATTAGCCTACAAACAGCAAAGATTTAAATGAAATATATGTTTGGGTTTTTTTGTCAAAATCAATAACAGTTAAAAAGAACATTTCTATAATTTGGTTGTTTTATATATATAATAACAAAAAATATAAGGGTTATATTTTATAATTTGGATTTCAATTCATTAAAGTCAAGGTACCAAGTAAGTTCTTTAAAGTATTAAAAAATACATAAAAAAGAATTATAAAAATACTCTCTCATTATTATATAAAATAAAAAACATAAGAAATAGAGAAAAAGCATATGATCAAATTAAAAAGTGATTTAACATATTCGAACCAACACCAAATGAAAGTGAAGCGCCTAAAATACCATGCTCGTAACCATCTCAACAACCGAAAACTTTGTGAAATGAGTTTACAATATATATATATATATATAATATGAAAAGAAATTAATTTTGGGGTCCCAAATCGTTGTGAGGCCCGGGGCCGTCGCCCAACTTGCCCGCCCTATTGGGCCGGCCCTGGTTGTGGTGGTAGTATTGTTTGATTTTTAATTATTTATTATTAGGATATTGAAATGCCAGCGATTTTTGTTTTTATAGTATGGGTTAATACACTAAGCTGTTTTTTTTTTTTTTTTTTTAAACCACTTCAAACCATTTATTAATGCGCCGCGCAGCACTTGACCATTCTCAGCTGTTTGTTTTTCAGAAGATGTGACTAGGGGTGTGCAAAAAAACCGCAAAACCGAAAAACCGAGCCGAACAGGCCACTCCGAAACCGAAAAAACCGTAACCGAAAAAAACCGAAACCGAAAAAACCGGATATCAACGGGTCGGTTTTTGGTTTTCATATCTAGGTATCCGCGGTTACCCGAACCGAACCGTTTGATTATATATATATATATATATATATATATATATATATATATATATATATATATATATATATATACACAAAGCAAAAAAAGTATTATTTCATTAGTATTTTTTTGATTGATCTACGAGTCCAATAACCTAAACAAAAATCCATATCGACAACTCCAATTTTGTTATTCTATGTTCATTTGATTTTCTTGTTATTTTTATTATTGTATTTATTATACAAATTATAATATATGATATTTGAACTCATTACGTTTTTTAAACTTCATTATATTTTTTGTAAACTCTTTGACTTACTAATTTTAAGAAAGAGATAACTAAAATGGAGTTTGTAGTTTCAATTGAATTTAATTTTTTATATTTTAGCGGGTACCCGTGAACCGAACCGTGGTTACCCGCTTTCATACGGTTCGGTTCGGTTCGGTTTTTTTGTCAATACGGTTCAGTTTCGGTTAGTGCGCATGAGGTACCCTCCCCGTGATCATGGTTCATAATTTTATTACTATCCGAACCGAAGCGCCCCGTGAACACCCCTAGATGTGACATCCCAAAAATCTCGGCTAGAAAAAACCGATTTCATTTATGATTTTTAAAATAATTTCAGAGTAAATCCTTTTGATTTATAAGAGTTGCGGGATTTGTTCCCATAAACAAAATATGATAAGATAATATGTATCAAAACATTTCATCAAGAGATGCATTTTCATTATATAATCAAAACTCGGGATGTCATGTTCCGATACAGACCATAAAGCATAAACGATAACATTACAAGTCATTCAACAAATATATACATATACAGACTTGTAAACAAAACAACTTGATGATTTATCCATCTTATGCCTTTGCGCCACTTCCTGTAATACAAATAAACTGAGTGGGTCAGGCTTGGGAGCCTGGTGAGCATATAAGGTTTTCAACCCACAATAAATAATTATATTTAATTTCACCAACCAATAAACTGATTTGGGCGTTCTTTTTATCGATGTTCTTAGTTTAACATATTCTACCAATTTTGTTTAGATCTCTAAGGCTAAATCTCGCTCTATCGTAAATTCCCTATTTACGCTTCCCGGTATCGTGTCGCTTCCGTTGCGAAACTTCAACGGGTCATAACTTCTTCGTTATAACTCGGATTTCGGTGTTCTTTATATGTACGGAAACCTTGTAACATATTCTACAACTTGGTTAAGATTATTTATTCTAAATAATCTTTTATATAAAAGTCATTTTCGACCCCTATTACCTCTAAATTGACTAGCCCGGATCTACATGTGTTACAATTATCTCCTCTTGGTGACATATAATGTACAAACATTCTATTAGGACAATTCCTAGCTATATGACCACCAATACCACAATTGAAACAAATTTGTTTGTTATTGTTAAAACCTGTACTGCTCTTTTCATATTTGTTTTCCATACCAACACCCTTGCTTTTCCCACATGAACATGAACAAGAATTAGGTTGTGAGAGAAGTGAGGGTGTATCAGAAGGAGAAACTTATGAAACTGGTGGTTTTTCATTTGTATCATCATAAACATTAGAATTGTCAACCACATCATCAAACACTTTAAAAACATTCAAACCAATATCAGAAGGTGCACAAAAATCACAACAAACATTGTCACTTTCAACATCAAAAAAATTATAGTCTTTATTGAAAACTAAAACTTTAGGTTCAGACTCAGTTTTATTTTCAGAAACAGATCCTTCAACTTCGTGCTTTGAATGATTTAAGGATTGATCTGCAGGAGAAGTAGAATTGTTAGTACTTTCAACATTAATAAATCCTCCCGAAACAAAACCAGACAGCTTGCCATAAACCATGAATGGTTCATTGGCAATCTCCTCCTTGGACAATGGTTGAAACCGATATGAATGGTTGAAAGGAGGATGCACTTTGTCATACCCTAGACCCTTTGACTGATTATGTTTAAATTGCATGCAATAGTCTATCATGTTGGCAACAACTTCACTTGATACATCAAATTTTCTAAAATCAAAATCAGCATTCTTAAATTTACTCTTTAATGTGTCAAGTTCAGTAATTAATTCAGCATTCTGTCTCTTTATGTAGTCATAATTCTCACATTTATTGTTGTAGTCTTCCTAAAGTCTTCTAAAGTCCTTTATTTTAGTTTCTAACTGGGCCTTAAGGGGTTTTTGTCATTTTCTAAGTTTATAGCCCTCATATCTAAGGTCCTCTACTTCTCTACGTAATATTTCTATTTCTTCATGAAGAATTTTAACATAATCAATACAAGCTTGAGAACATGAAGGCAAACTTACCTCACTTATCTTTGGTTCAGAAGTAGAAGATACCATCAACGCAAGCTGAAGCTCCATCATTTGATCTTCAGCTGCAACACTCTCTGCAGAGGCTTCACCACCAACTCGAGCCAAATGAGCATTTTCAGGTCTTTATATATTCAGAGCTTGCATCTGATCCTCCCAGTCAAATGATTGTGCCACCATAACCTTCTCACTGTTGACTTGAGCACCGCTCCGATTGTTTCCTACTGCAACCATTGTCCGGTTATTATTTAATCTTCTATCCGGCTTCGGGCACTCATGAGAGAAATGACCTGGCTCGTGGCAGTTGAAACAATGCAGCTTTCCCATGTTGAACCTTACCTTTTTATCAGCACTC